TATAACATGTCCAACTTCTGTGTTTATAAAACTCTGACAAAATGTAGTTCTCTCTAGATCAAGCATTTTTTAAGATTTAATCATTTCAAGTATGGAACTTTCTATATAATTCACCATGATTTTTCACATCTGACAGCAGATAATTGAAATAGAAATTTATAATCTTTCTGTATTGAAAGTGACTTGAACAGGTGCACACGTGTCTTACTGCGTTAGAGTAGAAAAACCCCTGAAGTTAACACAAGTAAAACTAGCTCTTATAACCCCAGAGCACACGTTATGATTTGCCAACTAACATTTCTTTTAAAGGTTGTTTAGTTTTTCAACAACAGTGAGAAATTTTTAACTTAATGCCGTTATTTAAAACCGATAATTGTGTTTTTTTATTTGTACGTTATAGTATGTCAGGAAAATGTTAACCAATCAATATAAGTTTTACAGTGTCTAACATAATTTCTGTCTTTCAACAGGATTTATCCTAATGTATTTGTTGATATTTTAATATATATACTTACCTAAGCTTACTGATTCAAAAATTAAAAGTAATGCAAAGACCATTTTTCTAAATTCAGGAATTTATATAAACTTAAGGTGATTTTTTTTGTCTTTTGTTTTTTATCAAAGAATTTACAATGTTCTTAATATACATTCTTCTCACTTCACATCGTCTGTGGAAATGGAAAGTTAGTTTTAGCTGAATGTTTCTTCTTAGGGGTCAAGAAGGAGGAGAAAAATTAGATTCCAATAAAGATAAACGTGACGATACTCCAGGAGCGAGCGAGAACAGTAGAAAAGAAAAGGTGAAATCTTCATTAACCCTTTTCCAATATTTAAAGACGTATAAAGATTATTCGGGTAGTATTCCCTCTCACCAATCTAACGGGTTTGACGAGAGTTGATGTAGCTTGAAAAGGGCTGGAAAGGTGAAATCTTCATTAACCCGTTTCCAATATTTAAAGACGTATAAAGATTATTCGGGTAGTATTCCCTCTCACCAATCTAACGGGTTTGACGAGAGTTGATGTAGCTTGAAAAGGGCTGGAACTTTTGTGTACAACATGAGCAAATAAATGTTTCATACTTAAAACTTTTCAACTGTTAGATGTACAAAACTAGAGCTCTGAATCTAACTACCGTGTTAAATGATCTTAAAATCTCTTTCATTAAGAAAGAACAACAAAGTTGTGTGCGAGAAAATAGTTGACACCAAACAGTTAACAATTTCTTATATTTTGTTGAAAATATAATTATTTTAGCTAAAAAGGCCTTAATGTATACATTAAAATAATACCATTTTTCATAAGTACTTCTTTAGGAAGCCACGCTTTTCATGTATAACTGTACTATTTAGTCAGAGTATTGTCCCAAGAATATTAGCTGTACTAAATTAATTTAAGTTGTGTGGGAGAAATGTGTGATAGCAAGGAATAGATGTGGAAAGAAGACTCTATAGAAATTGAGATACTTTGAAAATTTGGTACAATATACATATAAACTTAATGTGTAGTAATATGTGAATTAGAAAGACTTTACGGATTGCAGTGTTATTTATTTTGACTTAATAATTAGTTATTACAGAGATGTAAGAAGGCCTAAAACGTAATTCAATACATCATTTTAGTACAATGACACTAGTTTCTTCAGTTTAGTTCCATATGTATTAGAGAGTTAGGTATTCAAAATGCTAAAAACATTCAGTCTTTTTTATCCAATTAAAATTTTAATTTTTAAAGTAACGGATGTATTCATTTATCCAGGTAAAATTTGAGGAAATGTCTGATCCGAATTCCAAGTGGGAGAGTGAGAATGCTGGAGAGCACAAAGGTAAAGGTGAGAATACAAAAGATGAACTGTTGAAACTACAACAGAATATGAGTCTTGGGGAATCCAAGTCCAAGCGTACAGTATATGAACGTGCACGTAAGGAAACTGAGAATAACTTGGCATCAAAAACTGAGTTAATTGATATAAAAACTGTAAACATCAAGGAGAAGTTTGAGAAAGGTGAACTCAAAAATGAATTTTATCTGGAAAAACAAGAAAAAACTCGCAGACAAAAGGAGGAAGATCTTAGTGTCTTAAGTGAAACAAGTAGGTAGATGTAACACACGTTGATAAGTTCACTGGGTTCAGTTCTCCTTAAATAATTAGGTTATACACAAACATTAGGATCAACTGTTTCTAATTTGGTAGGTTATACACACACCTAGGTTTAGCTCTACTTAAACTGATAGGTTATACACACACCTAGGTTTAGCTCTACTTAAACTGGTATGTTATACACACTCCTAGGTTTAGCTCTACTTAAACTGGTAGGTTATACACACTCCTAGGTTTAGCTCTACTTAAACTGGTAGGTTATACACACTCCTAGGTTTAGCTCTACTTAAACTGATAGGTTATACACACTCCTAGGTTTAGCTCTACTTAAATAATTAGGTTATACACAAACATTAGGATCAACTGTTTCTAATCTGGTAGGTTATACACACACCAAGGTTTAGCTTTACTTAAACTGGTAGGTTATACACACTCCTAGGTTTAGCTCTACTTAAACCGCTAGGTTATACACACTCCTAGGTTTAGCTCTACTTAAACTGGTAGGTTATACACACACCTAGGTTTAGCTCTACTTAAACTGGTAGGTTATACACACTCCTAGGTTTAGCTCTACTTAAACTGGTAAGTTATACACACACCTAGGTTTAGCTCTACTTAAACTGATAGGTTATACACACACCTAGGTTTAGCTCTACTTAAACTGGTAGGTTATACACACACCTAGGTTTAGCTCTACTTAAACTGATAGGTTATACACACACCTAGGTTTAGCTCTACTTAAACTGGTAGGTTATACACACTCCTAGGTTTAGCTCTACTTAAACTGGTAAGTTATACACACTCCTAGGTTTAGCTCTACTTAAACTGGTAAGTTATACACACTCCTAGGTTTAGCTCTCCTTAAACTGATAGGTTATATACACTCTTAGGTTTAGCTTTCCTTAAACCAATAGGTTACACACACTCCTAGGTTTAGCTCTCCTTAAACCGATAGGTTACACACATTCCTAGGTTTAGCTCTATTTAAACCGATAGGTTATACACACTCCTAGGTTTAGCTCTCCTTAAACTAATAGGTTACACACACTCCTAGGTTTAGCTCTCCTTAAACCTCTAGGTTATACACACTCCTAGGTTTAGCTCTCTTTAAACTGGTAGGTTATACACTCTCCTAGGTTTAGCCCTATTTAAACCAATAGATTATACACACTCCTAGGTTTATAAACTCATAGGTTATACACACTCTTAGGTTTAGCTTTCTTTAAACCGATAGGTTATACACACTCCTAGGTTTAGCTTTCGTTAAACTGGTAGGTTATATACACTCCTAGGTTTAGCTCTTCTTAAACTGATAGGTTATTAATTTGATATAACTAGTTCTCTTTCCAACTAATAATTTATACAAAGACCTAGGATCCGTTCTTCTTAAACCAATAGGCCACACATACGCACTGTTGAAGTCAGTTCTCCATATACACAAACATCCCAGGTTTTACCCAGAAACAGGAGTAGTACTGGAAATGGTTACCAAGTGAAACTATGTAATAGACTGGACAAAATGTCATAAACAAAGTCAACATAAAAACTGTGTGTGTGTGTGTGTGTAGCTGCTGGACTATGGATGACCACATCCTCACGTAGTTTCTGTTTGAAGACTCAGTGTAGATCAGTCACTACGAACTACATGAAAATTTGCATTTAATTAGCACACTATGCTACCACGTGACTGGTCATTCTCATTCCATATAGGTGGGGTTGTGATCTCTAGATATTTCCTGTATAATCACTCAAGGATATTACTCTTAACATTTTGAAACAAGGCCACTTTTGGAGAATGTTCTCCATAGGTGGCAACAGGTATCACCTACTTTGAAAATTACAAAGGAACAAATTAAGTTGAAACAATATTAATGGTTTTATTAACCGTGAGCTACATGAAAACTTGCGCATTTTCAGAATTAACAATAACTTCAGAATGAATATCAATACTACAGAAAGAAGAAACTTAGGGTATATTACTATACCACAGATATACATAAAAAGGTGTACCATAGCCACGCGATTAACAAAGAAACAACAATTTATGTTCCTCTAAATTAATTCTCGTAAACACTGATAACTTGGCCTACTTTTATAATCAGGATTATCCAGGAGTGAATTGGTATGTCATTGAATATGTTGAATATTCAAAATGACTTTTCAATGAGAACGTGAAATTTTCACTGCAAGTGCCACCAATTTAATATTTTTCAGTCGAGTAAACCAAATGTATCAATACTGTGATATTTTTGTCAATCTATGTTTAACTTGTATATCTGAAGAACTGATAAAGAATGTGCAGAACTGCAAAAGTTCAACAGTTCAGTTCTAGAAGTACCAAACTAATATTTTTTTATTATAATTATTTTAAAATTAGAAACAGTATTTATTTTTGGTCAACTAACTCAGTTTAATTAATATTTTAAATGTTCTGTCATTATTGTATTTTTAACAAATGTTCTGTGCATCAGTAGACTGTTTCATAACTAGCATTACAGGTACTGGGAATATAGCTTGTCAATAGAGTTTTATTTTTTACAGGGTTAAAACTATTATTTGATTGGCTCGGGTGCAACTGTTAGTATTAAGTTTTCTTCTATCACAACTTGGCTGGTTAAAAATCTTTTATAGTCTGTGAATTACAAACTTAACCAACATCACTGTGACCAAGAAAGTAAAAGTAATTGATCCAAGGTTATTGGTGTGATACTTGATCAAGTAGCATATTTTTTATCTCTCGTCTTAACAATGGAAACTTTTTAGGTTAATGAAATTTTAAAAAAATTTCAATTGTATGCATTTTACAGAGTGTTTCCAGCTTTTCTTGTAGAGGACATCAGCCCTGTACAGTACTGACCTTATCTCACATGCTAGTTACACACATCAAGGTGTGTGTGTTCTGATAAAGGACATCAACCTTGTACAGTACTGACCTTATCTCACGTGCTAGTAACACACATTAAGGTATGTGTGTTCTGATAAAGGACATCAACCTTGTACAGTACTGACCTTATCTTACATGCTAGTCACACACATCAAGGTGTGTTTTGAGACTTTTAAGCTTTCTCACAAATCATACTGTTAGAGACCTCATTTTGATCTTGTATCTACTGATATTACTGTGAACTTTCACCTGGGGCTACCAGTGACATGGGTAGAGGCTGTGCACAGTTTAAATGACTGTTGTCATGAGATAATTACCAACTTACAAATAGTACTTACTTAGATACCAGGTCTGTGACTTTAGGACACAGATCACTAGCTTAAAGAAGTTTATGTAAAAATAATGAAAACAGAGAATTATAATGTTGAAATAAAATACAACATTTATTAACTTCTATTTATGTTGTTACGTTAATATTCTTTCATTTTTCTTTCACTTCAGTGGTTACTTCAAATTTTTATCATTGTTACACTTCATAAATAATAAAAGGCTTACTTAGCAGCTGAGGTTTTTTCTATTTTTTATGACTGGGGCTGCCAACTTCTAACTCAAGCCAACTGGCTCGAAGGCAGATTGCATTTCTCTGGAGCTGGCTGACTTACTGTATTTTTAAATGTAGCTTCTATATATATTAGCTGCTATGTAGTGTGTGGGCATGAAGTGGGTAGAATTGGTTATGTAATAACTTTTCATAGGGGGGTGGGGGCAAAATATTTCCCCTGAGGTTCTTAGGAATCTTCATCACAAGATTTGTATTACTTGAAGACCATTTCCATCCACTGCCATCAAGGACAATGTTGGTGAAGAATACATTATGGGCCCTCTCACAACATTGGAGCTGTGTGCATGCCCCTCTCAGTGGGTTTAGTTTGTTTAGTTTGTTTTTGAGTTTCCCGCAAAGCTACACGAGGGCTATCTGCCCGGCATGGCCAGGTGGTTAAGGCACTCGACTCGCAATCTGAGGGTCGCGGGTTCGAATCCCTCTCACACCAAACATGCTCGCCATTTCAGCTGTGGGGGCGTTATAATGTGACGGTCAATCCCACTATTCGTTGGTAAAAGAGTAGCCCAAGAGTTGGCGGTGGGTGGTGATGACTAGCTGCCTTCCCTCTAGTCTTACACTGCTAAATTAGGGACGGCTAGCGACTGGACAATGTTCCATCTGACACTACTAACTCAAACTACACTATACTATGTTACAGTTTTCAGTGTTGGAAGGTAAACCTTTGGTTACACAAAAGTCATAAAAAGAGGTGTGATACAAAAACAGATAAAGGGTTCCCACTGAGAGGGGGATCCTTAGTTTAGTAACCAATGGTGATTTATTTATTTCATTGTCACTTTGTGAAGGGTCAAATGTACTTTTCATTATATGTAGAAGTTCCATGGAGTTTCAGCATTTCTTATACTGGACTTTCATTCATATTCATTAGGGATATATTTCTTTCCTTTTTACAGTATCTAGTGTTCACGTACATATTTTACTTTCCTTAGTTGCTGTTTCCAAACTTTAACACATATTTTTGTGATTATTGTAATCAGTCTTTTTGTTTCTCTAGCCCTTAAAGTAATATTTTACAGGCCCCTCAAGAGCCGGTGGGGGACATTTTTGTTGAAAAATATAACAAAAACTACCCAATCCGGTTTTTCTTAATTTTAACTGAAATTGTTTGGACATTTTTTTTTTTACTGGCTAAGACGAAGGCATTTCCAACACTCTTTTAGTGTTGGGGCTGCGAAAAGTGATTTGACGTGGTAAGGTGACTGAAATCCATCAGTGCATCACAAGCTTAACGGCTAAGCACAAGAAGCATGGAAGTCTCCAAATGACACGCAAAAGTATTGAGGAACCATTTAGAACCACCTTGGTAGATATTGTGCAGTAAGCCGAGTACCATATTATGCCTGTAGCTGCTTTTCAAGTGTTCCTGTCTGCACATCCTGCTGCTGAGTATCGTGATGCTTCTACCTTCCCTACGGAATTGCGAGTGAAATCGTCTGTATCTCAGTTGAAAGCTAAACTCAAAAAGATGATAGCAGAAGCATAGAAGGTTGGCAATTGCTTAATTAATGACACTGAGAATGTGGCTTTATTGATATATACTGAATTTATTCCCTCAGTACTTCTTTCGAAGTTGTTTCATAAAGATACTTCCAAAACCACCCTCTTTGGGAGTTTCCAGATTGAACTTACTTTTAATATACGATGAATTGTAGTGTAAAGACACCTCTTGGCTCCTGGGGGACGTGTTGATAATATTTCGATTTTTAACAAGTAGTTAACTTAGTTATTTTCTTTAACTACTCTTGTTTCACTGATGAAATTATTGTTTTCATGTATGTAATGTCACAATGTCTTGTATAGATCAGAATTTCTTAAGAATAAGATAGAGGATTCAAACATCTTTCTTTCAGCTCCATTCATCGTTCAGTGCATTTGTTTGCCTTGATTATTTTGTGTTTAACAAAGATTGTTTTCACATTGTTTTAACTCAATCAGAGACTGAGAATACTGTTAAACTCCATAATACATTTTCAAGTGCTCTTCTAGCTATTTTAGCTGCTATCCATGTCACTTAAGGTTATCATTACGCCTGATAACACAAAAACTTTTTTCTGTAGAGATTATTCAGTACTACATAGTAATATATATTAATTAGGCAAATACTTGAAAGATGTACAGTGTAATAAAAACAAAATATAACTTATGTGTTTTAACACTGAAATATTTTAGGATAATATCAATTTGATTCTTAGGCACTGCAGCTGGAGCAAGATCACGTTTCAAGCACATGGATGCTGAAAGTTCTAGCACATCTTCACCAATTAAGTCACCTTCTGATCAAAAGCATACTTGGGAAATACCATCACCTAATCAGCCTCGTACTGATATTGCAGTTATCAAATGTAGTGATCCAGGCGCTAAGGATAAAATTGAAATTGATCCTGCCCAGCTGACCCAAAGATTCAACTTCTTTGAAAACTATAGAGAGGAATCAAAAGAAAGAGACGCCAATATTGTACGATCATCTGATGCTGGTCATGAAGTTATTGTTACCGACACAACTAAAAAGATGTTGAACATGTTCAAGGAGTTAGAGAGTCAATCTAACAGTGGTGAAGCCATGACTGGTCCTAAACCAGTGAGGGCAATTACTCCACCACCAGAGTCAACAAAAACCGATGACAGAGAATGTGAGCATTCACCAAAGGCAAAACAACGGTCCGCCGTCATTCGCTGCAGTTATAAAAACGAAGATAATCTGGTATGGGATACTGATAAAGCAAAGAATCTTCGTTCCAAGTTTGAGAATTGGCAACCTGATGTTGAACAAACTAAAACTAAGAAGGAAGAAGAATTCCTACCAGAAACAGATATGGCTAAAAACCTGCGGGCCAAGTTTGAGGCAATTCAGGAAGAAAGCACAAAGTCAAAAGAGAAACTAAAACCCACAGGAAAGAGACTTGTGGTGAGTACTTAATGTTTCCATATTACTGTTTGGTTCAGAAATTCTTACTAGTTTTTGATGTTTCAAAAAATTACAAATTGGACTTAATACTTTTGTACATTAATGTGCTTGCTAATGAGCAGAAGTTATTTTATGTTATATTTTTACATAATTTAGTGGTTTCTGTAAAATAGAAGTAGGGGATCACTATAACTAAAGAGACTGTTATAAACTTTAAAATATGTAGGTCTTTATTTTTTTAAGTGTTTTAATGACTTTAAAATTGTCAGTTAATTTGTTATTAAGTGAGAAACTATGAATTTAGGTTGTGTTACGTTTCAGACAGATCATATCTGCATGTGATATCTTCACAATTAGTTCAGCTACATGCAATAATAACAGTGCATAATATAATTTAACAAAAATATTTGATCTCATAAAACCTGATGAGAGAAAGCTGTCACATGGTCTCAGTCAACATGATAAACAATGTTCTATACTGGTCTGTTGACTGATGATAAACAATGTTCTATACTGGTCTCAGTCAACAGACCAGTATAGAACATTGTTTATCATCAGTCAACAGACCAGTATAGAACATTGTTTATCATGTTTATTACATTTAACCGAATAATCACCAACAGAACATTCAAGTTTTACTTTCAATGCCTAGCCCAACTTATCAAACCCTAACCCCACCTTCCCCAGAAATCCACTTCTCAAGCCATGCCTGTTATTAACCCCTATTGTTCTCTAAATCCCCGACTTTCGGTGGGCGGTCAGTCTTTGTTGTTTGGAACACGTTTTTTTAACTAAACCAATTATTGACTGTAACTTTCAGTACAGCGTTAGCTGCCACAAAGATTGGGGCTTGGATGCCTAACTTCAACACTTGGCCAGAGCCGAGTATTACCGGGTAGCCCAGTACCCAGCCGGAATCAAATATCTGGCCAGGAACCCATCTATATACCTAATTCTTAGTATCTGCAAGTTACACATACGCAATGTTCATGTGAGTAAGTAAGAAAAAACTGATAAACAATGTTCTATACTGGTCTGTTGACTGACCAGTTTTGTTTTTGTTTCTAATTTTTGTGGATATTTATTGGGGGGGGGAAGAGAGAACTCTGTGCCTGTTGACACCTTGCCCCACCCAAAGCTTAATGACCAGGTAACCAGACCCGGTATTCGGCCAAATGTTACTATCCTACTAAGAATATAAAAATGTGTACTTTATACATTTGTACCTCAACATGATGTATTCTTAATTATGTCAATTTTAAAGAAAAACAACTAACTACATAAACAGTCACTTCATTATTATTATTATACTTTTATTATAGAGATTCTTTCACATTGTTAGCTTAATATGTGTAGTTAGAACCTTCTAAGCTTGCTACACCTTGTGATATTATTGGGTTTATGGCCAGAAATACTGTTAACAGAGATGAAATAATGCATTCTAATCTTTATAAATAAGAATCTTAGAAATGTATATTTAATTAGCTATACTTCAATAGGATGATATTTAGTTTTGTTCCATGTAGGTGGCTTACTCTGATAGATAAATAATACTAATATAACTCATCATAGGAGACTTGTTTACCTTAGTACGCAACACAGTAATGTAAACTTGATTGATTCTTGTAAGAACATAAAGATATTTTGGGTGAACGTTTCTGTCACTTACCTACTTGGATGTAAATGAACCAATCAAAACGCTAGTTCTTACTTGTGTCACTCTGGCTAGAGCCAAGTAAAAAATCATAACACACTAGAGTTTCCTCACTGAGTCAGTTTGACACATATTAGGAAAGAAGACTGAGGGATATCAAGCGGAATGACTGCCGTGTTGTACATTTACGTACTAGTCAACTGGTGAGCATGCTGCTGCCTTGAAACATCAGAAATCCACTGCTTGCTGTGTTTTTCTATTGAAACTGTGTAGTCTTTGTTAGTAGAAAAATCTGACTAATCAGCTCACTGTTTTTATTGTTCAGTGAGATGATTCAAAGTCCAGCGTTTCCAGCTGTAATAAAATGAATCTACAGGTGAAGAAAAAAATCATGGGTATAATTTTGTAGTTAACAAAAATAAGCACAGTCTGTTTTTTTAGTTCATGGCAAAAATAGTTTCAGTTTTTTTGTTGCTTATTTTTTCTGTAAAATATTTACTACATCAGTGAAATTAATATCTAAATGTATTCAAACTTAATACAGTATATATATAAAGGAAAATTCTTATTAACTTATAAAAGATTGTGTATGACAAGTGATATTATTTCATTCTCTCAAGTACTTGTTGATACAATTGTGTTTGAAAGGAATATTGTAATAGTAAACACTAAAAATACATAAAAAAATCTTGGCTTTCAACTCAAGTAGAACAAATTTAAGATACTTTTATTAGTTTTTAAATCTCATTTAATATGTTTATCACTATTTTATTTGTTCTTTTATCATGTAATAACTAATATTTATTTTGTTTCTTTTTGAATTTTGTGCAAAGCTACACGAGGGCTATCTGTGCTAGCCGTCCCT